TCTCTCGGTCAAGGTGCTTCCCAATAATGAAAAAGATCCATTTCTTTTGAACAAAAAAACAAAAAACAAAATCAGAAACAACAAATATTATAAATAATCAAAATAAAAATGAAGGCGTGCACACACCTGTCCATCACCCCTCCAGAGTCTCCACTGCGCCCTCTGCTGGGAGCCAGAGAGTCTAGCTCATCAAAGAAGATGACGCAGGGAGCTGCTGAGCGTGCTCTGTGGAAAACTGATGACAATCACGTACATAAATATATAACATTTACTTAAAAATGTGTTCTAATTTAACTCTGGGTGATACGTTTCTGGGAACAAGAATATTATTCACTGTAAACGCAGCAAAACAAAAAAGAACAAACAGGAAGAGACGACAGTTTGTTTTTTTAAAGTGAGCCAAAAATAAACTTCAATTTTTTTGGTAATGGCTTAAAGAAGCAGCGACAGTCTGTCCAGGCACGCTGCAGTCCCCACAGGTCGGCTTTTTGTTTGAAGTTAAAATGAAACAATGTTCCAAGAAAAACAATAACGTGGCTTTATAGTAACTCAGTGAGTTTTCAGTCTCAGACGTTAGCTTGAAACTAACAACATTACCAAAACAAATACAGTTGAATGTAAAGACTAAGAAACACCTTCTCTGATGTTTTCTTCACTCTGACCCACGTACATGTTGATGAGCTCCGGACCTTTGACACTAAAAGACAGAAGTAACAGTGTCAGTGAACACTTGGCCATCTCAGCAAACCTCAGCAAACACATGCTGATTCTTTTCAGCGTGACGCCTTTCTGCCCGTTTCGTTCCTATGAAGTGGAACTAAATCTACCTGAGGAAAGTCATGGAGCACTCAGTAGCCACAGCTTTGGCCAACAGAGTCTTTCCCGTCCCTGGTGGTCCACACAGCAGGATTCCAGTCCGGTTCAGATCCAGAGACAAGAGCTGAGGACACTGCAAAGGAAGCTGAACCGTGTCCAGGATCTCCTTCTTCACGTGCTGGAGACCGCCGACATCCTCCCAGCGCACATTAGGTATCTACTCACAACACGGGACACAAAGGACAACAACGTGATGAAACAAACAGCTGCTTCTTTCCCATGTATTAAGCTGCACCTGTGACACACACACACACACACACTCAGTGTATCTATACAACAGGAGTGACTTACACACAAACAACCCGATGACACACAGAGTTTTACTGTTATATTCACTTTTTTGTAAATAATGAATATTATGTTTACACACACAAAGGTCACTGCCTGCTGTGTCAGTTCATTTTTCCAAACATGGATTTCTAAAAACGGAGTAAAGGTTATTCTGCTGCTTTGGTCGACTCCACCACGGTCTGCCACAGACAACCATTCATGCACAACAAACTTGTGTGTGGCCTTATCAGGGGCGCTAACAAAAACAAAAACGGTCTTTTAGTCTTTGGTCACCTTCGGGGCCCCGATGGCCTTGGACAGGGTGTCCTGCAGGATCTCCAGAGCGGAGGTGAAGTCCTGGTTCAGGACGGTCACTCCGCTGCAGCACAGATCCTCCTGCTGCCGAGCACCACTGCACAAACAACAACAAAGACTGAACTACAGGCTGTTCAGTGGGACACCGATCTTCCTTCTGTCACGATTAAGTATTCACACAACAACAGTAACGGTAACCTACAGCATAGAACAGCAGTATTTAAGACACAGACAACAGGATACGTAAGAGGCAAACAATTTACAAAGCAGCTCCAACTGTTGCCTCCACAGTTCTTTAAGCACCAGGTTTGCAGGGGTGAGGTAGATATGGTGCTGTGGAGAAGAAGCTGTCAGAGGGTTCTACACCAGGGGAACTCCAGGCCTCGAGTGTCCTCAGCATGTCCTCAAGTCCTCCAGAGGCCTGGCAATGAACTAATCATGTGATTCAGGTGTGTTGACCCAGGGTGAGATCTAAAACCTGCGGCCCTCGACGCCTGGAGTCCCCCACCCCTGGTCTACACCTTTTTCCAGGAGGCAGAAGGATGTTCAGGGGAGACCTGAGAGGGGAGCATTCAACCTTTCCATCCTGAATTAGAGCTTCAGACACAAAAACCAAGAAGCTGAGAGCCCCGAGCTTCAGCGTTTAAGTACCCCACCACCTCGCTGTTTCCACGACCACAACATGTTTCAGAGACTCGGTTATGAACTACAGGTGATGAAGTATGACACATTTTTAATCTTGTCCTGTAAGACGTAGTTATTCTCACCAGCTGTGGATCAACCTCCTGCAGGCAGCTCTACCAGCCTCAACCAGCAAAGCACTGAGATCCCCCAACACGAAACCCTGTGGAGCAGAGGAAGAAGGACTGAAACAGGAGCCACACTCGGGAAGGGCAACCAGCATCCAAATCCAACGTGGATCCAACCAGCTGTGGCAACTCCTGAACACGGAGCAGCTAGAAGAAGCTTTTTGGCCTCATGGAAGCCAAAAACAACCTGAAGCCTTCCCCAGAGTAGCTCTACAGGACCAACACAGCTGCCTACATGCTTTCACCTGAAGCTTTAGCAGTAATCATTCTGCCCCAGTGGTGGTGTGAAGTCGAGTCGATGTCATTACTCACTGTGGTGAGTCTGGAGAGGTTCTCCAAGTTGACATCCTTCCCTAAGTGCAGGTCTCTGCTCAGGCTGGAAAGCATGGCACGCCGCTGCTCTGCAGTTGGACTCTCTACTGCTACCTGATGGACAAACGCTGCCATGACGCCTGCAGGCAAATCTCGAGCTTTGCAGACAGTTGCCACCATCACCACACTGAAAGATAACCACAGATACATTTGATTATATTCTGAGGCTCACACAGGAGACTGAAAACACTTGTGCACGCCTCTGCTGCATGCTCTGCGCTCCTGTAGTGGTTTACAGGTATGAGCTAGACCAGTGTATTGAATGAGGGTTAGAGGCCGTCACTGACCTGGTGGGGGCGCAGCTGAGCAGCTGGCAGAGCTTTGCCTGGACCCTGCAGTCGCTCTCGGCAGCCCCTCGTGATCTGAGGACGAGCTGCAGGTTCCTGAGCAGCAGAACGCAGGGCTGCAGGGCCTCGGCCCTCTGAAACACTGACGCCAGCTTTACCTCAGAGGCTGCAGGACTGTCAGCGCACAGGCTCACACAGTCTACCTGCAAACGAGGAACAGCAGCCAAACAACACGTTGCCTTTTATTTAAATATTCTCCTGCAGAGAGGAATCATGAAGAATGTGCTGATGTCTAATCATCTTATCACTCTGAAACTTGAGCACAGCTGTTGTACCTTCAGCAGGTGGAGGTTTAGTCTGCCACTTGCTGCCCTCACTGCTGCCATCTTTCCACTTCCTGCAGCACCGTGAAGGAGGACAGTGCAACCAGACAGAGAGCTGCTGCGAGCAGACATGCAGCCAACATCAGCAGCGTGCCATCATGCATCTGTTACTGAACTAGGTTTGTTTATGTGAACTTCAAGCTCAGGTCCTATTCAGTTTTCACTGCCGGCTGTTGTAAATCTGAGCAGACGGGGCGGTTACCTGTGCTGCAGGTGAGGCAGGATGGTGTCGATGAGGAGCTCCACAGTCTCGTTAAGGCCTGGAGGAGACAGAGCTGCTCCCTCCACAAGAGAGCATGGGACGGGGCTGTTTACAGATGTTCCCTGAGGAGGTGGGGGGAGCTGTCAGAGCAACGACGCTGACTAACAACAGCTTAGATTTAGAAAAGACTGCACTGTGAGCAGGATCCCTGCAAACAAACAGTCTCATTTACTCGCTGTGATAAATCAACAGTGCCTGCAGCCCTGTTAGCCCGAGATAAGGCAAACCAGGCAGAATATAAGAAGTGCAGGCACAGAGGACGTGAAACATGAACGAGGGGCAACAATAACAAAACTGAGAAGGAAAGAAAAACTACAAAGACAGGAAACATGACAACAAAACACTGAAGATGGAGATCAAATAAAGAAAAAACACAAAGATGTAGAAAAATGATCAAGGGAAAAAAGAAAAAAGACTTTCGGTGCATTTTATAACAGAATACACACAACTCACGTTTCATCATCTACTGTGGGTCAGGGCTCCCCTGAGCTAGCACCCCACACACAGCTACGCTGCTGTCTGACACTTTGGGAAAAGAGCCTTTATTGCACAGACAGGAGGGCAGGGACACAGGGAAACGTGTCGGACTCCAACCCAGCTAAAGATGGGTTTGTTCAGCGGTTTAACTGAAGAGATCAGCTGGCTGACATGGTCACTAAACCATATCAGAGGAAAGCTTTTACAGGATGTGTCACACTGAGGTATTCACAGCATTCAGCTGCATCTGAGCAGACAGTCCAACCCTGTACACTTCAAAATGAACAGACTGAGTCTTATATAACGCTTTTCTACTCTCCCGGAGTCCTCAAAGCGCTCTAGACAACACGCCACATTCACACAATCACACTCTGAGTGCTTTCTAACTACATCCACACACATCCACACTCCAATCATCGGGGAGCAACTTGGGGTTAGTATCTTGGCCGAGGACACTTGGTGGAGCCGGGGATTGAAGCACCAACTTTCCGATCAGTAGGCGACCTGCCCTGAGCGACAGCCACCCATGAATGCTACTTGGACCAGTAGTCACACATTCATGAACACCAGTAACCCAGTTTCACTGGCAGCCGTATCCAAAGTGTTGAACACATCACCAACTAAACGATGTGTAGAAGTGCTGCTGCAGGAAATATTCAACAACTAATTAAATCCACACATGCAAAGAAATCCAACCATAGATGTCCATAAATGATGAAATGACACAGGGACACAGTACTGAACACATGAAGAAAGGGAGCTGCAAACAGGCGCCAGCTGAACCCGATCAGTAATCAGAAAGCAACACTCACATATCAGCGGGTTCAGGCCCAACTGATGGCCTATAACAAGGTGTGTCATTACCAAAGTGTCACACAGGAAACAATCGTACTTCACAGCCTTATTGTTGCAAACATACTGATGACATCGCTTACAGAAGAATTTCTAAACTGCTGGAGAGCCGAACATCAGCTCCCCATGAACTGGCCTCGACCAGCTGCTGCCCTCAGGAGAGTTGTCCGAGGGGCCGACATGTGGAGAGCTACAGAAAGGCTCAGGACCAGCAAGTGCATCAGTGCACTCAACCACGCTGACCTGCATGCGCGCTTACCACGCAGGACTCCACAGCTGCAGACAAAACGTGTTTTAAGTTTGCTGAAGAAATTTCAGACGAGCCTGTGAAACACTGGTCTGGTCAGATGAGGCCAAAGTCTCTGGATCCAACAACAGACCGCATGTTTGCAGCGCACAGAGGAAATAAAGAAGAATGACTGAGGTTAGCGGTCACTGTTCACCATATAGAGCGAGGTACGCTGTCTGCTGGCCAAGTAAGCTCCTCCTCCTTCTTCTCTTCCTGCAGACGAGCATACCTTCTGCACCCTGAAGAACAGCACCGGACACCTGAAGACGTTCAGAGGACATTTTTCACTGAACAGTCACAGACAGTGATGCGTTAGCCACGTCAGTCTGAGGTCAGTAAACAGTTTCTAACTGCAGCGTCTCTGGTGGCCTCCACAGAACAGCATCCTCCATGCACCAAAGAATAAAACAGTTAAATGTGGATTTTTAAACATTTTCTCTCTTCTGATTTACTCTTACAGAAATCTGATGATCATGATGGCTTAAATGAATCCACACATTAACTGTCTGGGTCTTTGGTTGCTTAATAAGCTGTAGTGGGAGATTGCAGCCACTCCTGCTCCTCAGCCTGTGTGTCGACGAGAATTCAGAATTCATTTGAATTTATCTGATTTCTCAGGATTTTTCAGCCTATTGTTTAGAGCTCAGCTCAGACTAAATGGTTATTGTGCATGATTTCAACATTAATTTAGAAACTTGCAGCCTCAAAGTGGTTTTTGATCTATTAGGCTCAATTTGCTTCTCTCCAAATGTAAATGAACCCACCAATGTTGTTCTGGCATTTAACAGCATTCTCTGAGAAACCTCGTCTGATATTTCATTTATTAAAATGTCTGATTTAGGTAAAGAGCATAAAGACTTGTCTCATTAACCAGTAATAAGCGGCACCTGTGGATCCCTTCAGCGGGGGTCTCGAGCAGGTCTGGGTGGTTTCCAGCTGGAACAGTCAGAACGTCTCCTGGTGACACCAGCCTAAAAACGAGCCCAGACAAACTGCTGGAGTAAAACAGCGCTGCTTTCTTTCTACATGTTAAGGACACTGTTTGGATGCATCCGTCAACCTGGGCGTGCAGAAATGTTGAGCCAGCAGGTTGTCATAGCAGCCCCGGTTGTTGTAGAATGGACAGGTGACCAGCTGGATGTGGAGCTCGCTGGCATACGGTGGAGACGCCGAGCGGCAGAACGTGTCGGAGCGACAACCACTGTGTTGTGGAGGAGGGGGGTCCCACCTCTGAGACCAGACGAGAGACAGAAACAGAAAACAAACACTGAAGATTTGCTGATGGGATGAAACCTTCACAGCGAGAAGGTCCTGGGTTCAAATTCAGGATATTTATGGTGTGACGTGAACAACCCTGGATAACTTTAAGAAGAAGGATCAAAATCGTTTAACTGATCAAAAATGAGTCTTCAACAAATAGAAAATGCCTGCTGGGGACAGTTTCCTGTTACACTGACACTTGATTTGAATGGATTTGGAAACCTGGAATAGAATAAACTTCCAGATTAACGGATCATCAGACCTGTGCAAAAAGAGCGACTGGTGAACATTGGCACTAATGCAGTCGATCCGACAGCTGATTCCTCTGTGAGCACCCGCTGAGTCATTTAAAAACCTGATAATGTATCTGAAGAAACAGACTTGCTCACAGCTGTGCAGTAATTTATTTATCCGACTCTGCTGGATGCAGCTGGTGTTTCCAAGTTGAACATACTGTTTGTGGCCCATGTCTGGTAAGGATGAGCAAAAGGTTAATGACAGGAAGCAAACCCTGATTGGTTCATACTCTTACCTACTTTTGTTTAAAGTGCGGACCAATCCGAGAACAACGGGCCCGTGGGCACAGACGTGTGACGGTGTGACGGTGTTACTGTTTAGGTGTTGTGTTCCTGACATGATTTAACTACCTCCTCACAGCTGTGCGCTCTTTGGCTGCAGCTGGTTTCTTCTGCTCTGAAGACTCGCTGTGAGCTGGTGAGCTACTCTACATTACTAGTTTGCTCATCGAGGCTACAGAGCAGAGCAAGGACGACTGCCACCAGGTGCAGTCCACCCACAGCACAAACGCCCACTGTGCAGATGGCTAGCTAATCTGTTATCTTGTTTACTGAAATGTTTGCAGAGTGTTGAAGCACCTTCATCCTGAGCATGAAGCTGTTTACAGGGATCACTTCTCCTCCAGTCATGTTGAACCACAGAGTAGGTGATATGAGGCCCAGGTTGTCACGGCTCTGTAGTTCTGGACTCGGTGGCAGATCCATCACCACCACAGAGGCCAGCCTCTCTCTGCAGACGCCCCCCGTGACATCGCCCTCTCCTGTGGGTCCTCTGGATTCGCCCAGCTTCGACAGCCGTACCCACTCCTGGTTGAAAAGCCCCAGTCTGAGAAGCAGCTGTTTGGTCACAAACACGCAGCTGTGCAGGTCCACGGCTACCCCACATTGTTCTTTGAGCTCGAGCCATCGCTGGGTGTCCATCACCCGAACTTCCACTCTGCATAGCAGTGGACACGGGACACCTGGGAACCCAGAATCCAGCACGCTCCTGTTGTCAAGCAGACATGGGCCAGCAGAAAGGCCGTCAGCGTAATGAGCAAAGTCTGACACGCAGAGTCTGAGTGGCCTGCAGGGTGGGGGGGTGACTGAGTCCCAGCAATCTGTCAGAACCAGAGAGGTATCAGCTGTGATCCTCCCCTGTTTTACAGGACTGCACTCCAGCACCAGCAGCTCCAACAGCTGATGCTGCACCATGAACAGAAGACAGAAGACAATCAGTCTGTATTCTCACATCTAGAGCTGTAACAAGAAGCTGCTCAGTGCAAAATGATTCACGATTATTAGAATCAGTGAATCGCTGAATTCAGAGCTTTGAACAAACAAATAACATGCGTTTAAGTTCTCAGTCCTGCTCTTTGTCTTCAGCTGCCACATAAACATCAGACTAAGATCCAAATGAGCGCGTTGTGTTTAAAATATTAAAGCGCGGGCGAGATGGCCTCAAAATGATTTCACCATAATTCTAACATTTACAAGTGTAAGTAAATAAAGGGCCTTTTCACAACATGAGTCAAATAAAAGTAAAACACGTGTGGAAGTAACATAAACACAGGGACTTTTGTTGCTCGTTCAAACAAACGTTACCAGTTGAAAACAGAAATGATTTTACAGCATTTCTTCTAAATCAGTCTGACTCTGAACATCACCTGTCCGGGGTCTTCTCCTGGGATTGTATGTCGGGGGAGCAGCAGCGGGTCTCCTTGCCGAGCCAGCAGCCAGTGTCCCGGGCGGCAGAGTTCCAGCAACCTGTCGGTGAACTGCTCCGATCCAGCCAGGCGGAGGCTCTGCCTGCTGCGGGCTCCAACTACGACTCTGTCCAGGCTGACGGGCTCCACGGCTCGGACGGTTCCGGTACCTCTGAACTGCTGGAGCCCGTGGTGCCGCAGGAAGAGCCGGCTGGTAAAGAGCCGAACCCGTGGCGCTGACTCGGTGTTGGCTGTAGGACAGGTCACTCCGTCGGCCGTCTCTTCCTCGGTAGTTTGGTGAACACGCAGTAAAATGCCCGTCCTGCCGGAGCTCTGAGGCTCCTGAGGAGTGAAGAGGACGGTCAGCGGATCCGTGTCATTTAGGAAGACACGGTCCAAGTGTGGTTTTAACATCAAAACATCCAGAGGACTGAGGTGAGACGGGAAAGTCTCCAAATAACTCAGCTCAACCTGAACCGCCATAACTAATCTTCTTCGGTGCCTCTGCTTCTTCTTCGTTCCTTCTTAATACTGCGACCTAGCGGACGAGTAGAGGAACTACAAGAGAACCCGAGGACGAGCTCGATGCTTTTCATTATGTCTAACGATATACTGCCCAGTGTTGGGCAAGTTACTTTGAAAAAGTAATTAATTTACAGTCATGTTTTCATTTTGACAAACTGTATTAACACAATTGATCTAAACTCAGACAAGAAACAAAAAAATGAGTAGAAAAAGTTATATTGTTACTGTAACAACCACAAACATGTTTTTCATAACTTTAAATGCAAATATAAATTGTCAATTTTAAAATCATATGCACAAGTTTTGCAAACAACAAAGTTATTTGCAGCCATTTACCTTTTGGTTACCTTTTTTAACCATGTCAAACTATTTACAGAACAATCAGCTGTTCTTCAATAAGATGCCACACAAATTATTTGTGCCACTCCAAATATTTCTGTCCACTATAAAGGAAACATCACAGCCTGATACCTGCAGGTCTGACAGCAGCAGGTGTATCACTGCTGTTTCTACCTGGAGACAGCAGTCGCCTCATTGTTCTGACACACAACACAAAACTATTCACAACACAACACACTAACTACACAACACAACACACTAACTACACAAGACAACACACTAACTACACACTCCAAACACGCTAAACGTCACAAATCTCTCACATCTCAAAACTCTCTCTCTCTTCCTAAACAACCAGCACCAACATGAACGGGCTGATTTTGGTTTGATTTTTGCTCATTAGCAGAGAGGTCTCGCTGCGCTGTCCTCAGACAGTAAACATGAAACTATTGAGGAACAAGCACACGTATATTTTGTTTATCATGACTCTGGTTTTACTGGCCTATCAGCACAATTTAAAAACTGGCACCTTGTTGCTTTGTCATCTTGAAGTGGTCATGTGATTGGCTTACCACGACTACTTTATTCTTCCTCAGTCAAACAGCAGCACTCATGCCATTGTTTTGTCCCCTGAGCTCCAGGTGTTGTGCCAAAAAGTGATCGTCAGGCAGAAAGTGATCGTCAGGCAGAAAGTGATCGTCAGGCAGAAAGTGATCGTCAGGCAGAAAGTGATCACCGCCTGCAGGAGCGCGCAGCTGCTTAAAGCTGCAGCGTCCAGATTACTTACAGCTACTTCTGTGCAACTGATATAAGATGCTGTAAACTGAACACAGCTTCAACCGTCTGTTTGCTGAAAAATAGTAACGCGACCGCATTTTCTTGTTAGTAACGGTAACAGCGTTGTAACTATAGGAATAGTAATTAGTTAGATTACTCGTTACTAGACTTGTAGTCAAGACCGCCTAAACCGAGACCAAGACAGAGACAAAAAAGTCTTTAAACTGGAGCCAGATGCTGCTTTGTTTACGGGTCTCACATTTATGTGTTTTTGCTTTCGCACAGCCCTCCTCACAGCTGTCTACTGTCTCACTCACTGAGAGGACAGATCCGCTCCACTTGACTGTCGCATCTCTCACCCTCTCTGTTTTTCACATAATGATATTATCCTATATCCTCACATGTGATTGGACCACAGCTGAGCCACTGTGTGAGAGCTGAGCAGCGAAAGGAACTTAAGTGAGGAGCGGCTCTCGCTCAATGGGAGTCGACTCTGACTCACTACAAAGCACTCTGTAAGCACGGTAAGAAATGACTGAAAGATTTATCAGGCTGTGTTTTGAGTTTTGTTCAAAACAGAATGACTTCATATAGGAAAAAAATATATATATCACATGTGCAGGACACCTTAAACTAGTTTTTTAATTAAGCAGTAAGGCAGAACAAAATCAGGACTGTATCAAGACACGAGGACTAAAGCCCAATTCAACCAGACCCAGAACTGATCTGGAATTAAAACAGGACTACAACAGTTCAAAATCAGGACTATTTAGGACTTAACCAAAACAGAACCAGAATAAAAACTAGATGATAGCAGCACTAAAAATCATCATAGACCTGCAGTACACTTATTTTTAATTCTACCAAAGTCCACTATTTAGATTCAGAGACGTTTATATAATTATTCAGCCTTGTTGTGCAAACAAGCCTGCATAACTTAATAAATATAGAGTTTGAAAAATAACAAATGGTATCTAAAAAGTTACACTAGTTACTGGATACATGTTCTGATAAGTTTTGGCAAACAACCATTTGACTAACATGTGTGTCTCACCTGCTCTTGTTCCA